CCGCCACTCGTCATCACACCGATCACTAAAGGCAAGGATTCCCCCTATGTGGCCTTAGACTGTAGGGGCAAGTGCTGTTAGCGAGTAGCACCTATGAAGGCCGGCACGGCACACGAGGGGATGGGTGGCCAGCACCACGCCCGACCGCCTTTGTCTCCCTAGTGGCGATGTTTACACATCGAACCAGGAACTCATTTGAGGCCGAGTCGACCTAGGGGCGAAGGCCCAGGACCGGTTCACTATGAGTAGGGAGAGAGAAGGGGGGGAGTACAGGGTGGTCTGTGTATTTATTTATTTACTTGATCATCATCATCGCTCAGTCTCCCCTCGTTGTTTGCCGGCACTCGCTGCTTGCCACAGATAATGTTGTGGAAACAAAGACGGAGGTGGGGGGGGGGCGAGCACGTCGCGCGCGTTACCGAGACAATTAGCGCCCAAAGCCATCGCTCACTCACAATCTGCGGACCCCCCACACTGAACCCCCCCCCCCCCCCCCCCCCACACAACTCCCTCCCGTCAGACGTGGCCCCCCACCGCCCCCACCCTCAACCACTGCTGCAGCCCCAAGCCAGCCGCAGCCCAAACTTAGCCCCGTGGCGGCCCTACTACCACCCCCCCCACCAACCCAGCAACACCGCCCCCCCCACCAACCCAGCCACACCGCCCCTCCCCCACCAACCCAACTACACCGCCCCCCCCACCAACCTAGCCACACCGCCCCCCCCCCCCCACCAATTCAGCCACACCGCCTCCCCCCCACCAACCCAGCCACACCGCCCCTCCCTCACCAACTTAGCCACACCGCCCCCCTCCCACCAACCCAGCCACACCGCCCCCCTCCCACCAACCCAGCCACACCGCCCCTCCCTCACCAACCCAGCCACACCGCCCCCCTCCCACCCACCCAGCCACACCGCCCCTCCCTCACAACCCAGCCACACCGCCCCCCTCCCACCAATCCAGCCACACCGCAAGTCATCCACACCCCCCATCCGCAGCCTAGCGTATCCGAGCGGTAACCTCTGCCAGTGGAGACGCATGCGTGTGTCTGTGTTCGTGCGTGTGCATGCGTGTGTGTGTGTTCGTGCGTGTGCATGCGTGTGTGTGTGTGTGTGTTCGTGCGTGTGCATGCGTGTGTGTGTGTTCGTGCGTGTGCATGCGTGTGTGTGTGTTCGTGCGTGTGCATGCGTGTGTGTGTGTTCCTGCGTGTGCATGCGTGGGTCTGTGCGCAATACTTGCCCCAACAGCCTGTTAAGGCTATACGGGGGATCTTTGTATGCGCGTTTGTTAGGACGCTCTCTGCCGCGCACGTGCGCATGGTTCTCCAGAGTGAGGATCGGTGGCGCAGTGGTTAGCGCTGAAATGCGCTACGCAAACACTCAACACAACACAAAATAATAATATACAATAGTTGACGTTTCGGGTAATGGCCCTTATTTGTAGCACACGGCGTGTGATCAACCAGAACAGTGGAGGCAGCATCGAGGGTTGGTGGATCACACAAATGTTGTAAAACTCCCCATGGGCGAATGGGGGCAGGGTTGGGGGGATGACCCTGGGGATGACGTCCACTTCCCCCTATCCGTTCCCCCCCCCCCCCAGCGAAGAGGGTAGTGGGGTCCGTGGGGGGGAGCCACGGGAATCGATTCTCAAGGATGTGAGTGGGGGTCACCCCTGCGTGTTGCTAAATCGGGGACACGGGGTATCGCGTGAGAGCGCGGAGCGCCGCGATAAAGGGCATTGATCATCAACACGACCCACAAGGATTGCTTAAGCGCCGGGTGGCTTCCTAAAGGGCCGTGTCAGGGCCGTCATTTGATCAGAGCCGAGCTTCTAATCCGAGCTTCAGGCGCCCAACTGCGAGTAAGCCAGAGAGTCACCAGCGTGGCACAGGTGGTGGGCACAGCGCGGTGAACGTGACGGTGTTTCGCTGATATCAGGGCACTTACAGCCGGTGTGCTCAGAACCAGATTCCGTTCTCTTGTGACGTCTGGGCGGTGACGCGGGCCGAGCCGTGGGCACGCGGGATGCTCGTGGCGGAGGTGTGCGGTTCGATGCTCGCGGCCGCCCGGGTTAACACTGCGCGGGCGCGTTAACCACCACTGATTACGTTAAACACCACCGATTACGTTAAACACCACCAATTAGGCGTCGTCTGCTGTACTGTGGACCCTAACGACCCCGTGACGTTATTCGAGGGAGATTTTAAAAAAGAGAGGAACCCATTTGTGTGCCGCCCTCATTATGGCCTCAATGCGCCAAGATTGTGCCAAACTCCAAATGTATATATATTAAATATATAGCTTGTATATTATATACACATGCCTGCACCTACTCACCAGCTGATTCCATTCTCATCGTTAAAGGGGTAGGTGGCTCGGCCGCGCGCAAGCGGGGAGGGTGGTGGCTCTGAGCCCGGTATAGGAGTTGACCCGGGACGCTGGGGCCTCTCGGGCCGAGGATGCAGCGCCCCACCGGTGCATTATTGATGGCGCGATCACTGCGCATGGCTGCTGTCTCTGTCTCTTCTGTCGAATAGAGTGCTCCTCTCGATTTAGCGAGGGGGTATTTTTATCACGGCAGACCCCTGAGTAGTAGCGGAGTAATTGGGGGTGGGGGCGATGCGGTTTAGGAGGTGCATGGGGGGAGAGGACGGGGGGGGTCACGTATCCCCGGAGCGCCTCACTCTCTCGACCACAACATATTGCATTTGCTGCCGAGCTGTCGATCAAAGGTTGTTCGTCGGTAATCACGGGGCGCCTCGGCTATGAGAGCACGCGGTGCGTAGCGTTACAGCCCCGTGCGGGAATTGTGTCTCAGTTGTTGCGTCTCTTGCCTGTGTGCCTCTCTGTGTGTGCGTGTGTCTTTGTCTTTGGTGCTCGCGAACATCACTTGCCCCAGACTATCCGGGGTATCTTTGTCTTTATCTTTGTGTGCCTTTGTGTTTGTGGTGCTGGCCACCCATCCACTCGTGTGCCGTGATAGCCTTAATAGCTACTCGCTAACAGCACTTGCTATTAAAAGACCTACGGGGGATCTTTGGTTGTGTGTGTGTAAGTACGCGTGTAAGTACGCGTACTTCACATCACCCCGTGTCTATGACGCTGCGGCTGTAACTCGCGTTGCCTCTGTAATGGGAAAGCGACCGCTAATCTCGCGATCTCTCTCGGTGATGGCAGGGGGGCAGTGGGGCACCTCTGTATATATTTAAAGGAGACCGCGCAGACACGGGACCCGAGTTCGCGCGTCTCGCCCAGCCGCGTGGGCAATTGTGGGGGGGGGGGGGGGGCAGTGAGATGAAACGTCTACACCCGAGCGATCAATTGCGCAACTTGGTCGCATGCACCCGGTTGCTCGCAGCGGATATATTTTACTTTCAAGCGGCAATCTGCTCAGTTATCGCTCAGGCGATTACCCGGCTTCAGGGAATTACAACTAACGTCGACGTTTCGATTCACCGGCCTTCGGGAGGGAAGGAGTCGAAGGGGTATGCCCCTTAAGAAGGGGGAGGGTGGTAGGGGGATACCCCCCCCCCCACGCACCCCTCCCCTCTCATCCGCCCCCACCTCATCCGCTGTCTTCCCCCTCTCGCGGGGATTACGGGAGGATGAGCTGCCGCTCTGAGCGCGACGATTCGCGTGGATTCGTGGTGATGGTGGAAGGGCCTCTCGTGAACGCGGCGCACAGACCCACACGCCTGCTTCCATCGGATTAGGCCCCCGGACCGCCGCCAGACCGACCATACGGTGCTGTCGCGTCTCTCGGACCCCGCCCCCATCCCACTTTGTAGGGGGCACACGAGTGGCGGGGCGGTGGAGAGCTCCCGGTACCGCTGCTCCCCCCAACTCCGTCCCGACAATGACCTCACCCCCCCCCCCCTCCCAGCGGCGTCGTGTGGCTGAGCCGTGCCATGGTGGTGCAGGGAATGTAGTGGGGGGGGGGGGGATCCCTTCGCTAAGCCCGGCGGCCCAGGTGCAGTCACCTCGCCGCCTGCTGCGGGGGCGTTACCCAGCCACGTGGTGAAGCGCCCTGCATTGCTGCTGCTGCATCCCCCTCCCACAGAGGACCCGCCTCCCTGCAGAGATCGTATGTATGTTGAACTTCTTTCGCACCGTACGTAGCTAACCGCGCTTATCGAAGGTGCGGGGGAAGGGCAACAAACTAAACACAAAGAGCAGTTCTAAAGAAATGAGTTCTCAAGCTAGATTTAAAAGTGCATAGCCTCAGTGGATTCCTCATAAAAGGATCCCTGTAGGGACCCTCCCTGCAGGGATCCGCTATAGGGATCCCTCCCTGCAGGAATGTGACGATTTTTTGTTAATTTGTTGTATGTATGGGTTGAGTGGTGGCGCAGCGGTTAGCGCACTGCGCTACTGAACCCGGCAACCACGAGTTCGATTCCCGGCTAACATCAGCTGGCGGGTGATGTCTGTAATAATCGGTCCAACTCGCGCTGACCCGAGGGCAGACTCACTGAGCCACTCACTTCGCGGGGACCGGAGTCCCGTGCAGGATGAAATTAGCACGGAGTCGTCCTCACCACAGACGCGAGATGAACGAGGCGGCCTCGCGTCACTCATTTATTGCATGAAAATAAAAAGCACAGGGAGATTAGCCCCCCAACCCCCACCTCTCATCCACCCCCCCTCGCCCGCGGCACGTGCACGAGTTAATTAGCGAATGAGGTCGCCTTCCACGTCATTAGCGGTAACAGCGGCACGTGGTGAATTTCATATTCTTGAGATCCCCTCCCCCCCATGTACAGACACAACAGATCGTGACGATATCGGGACACGGATTCTCACGGAGTGGCACCTATGATATACCAAACGGGCCCCATTCGTATTTCACATGCAGATTAAGTCGTTACACGCTACACGCACCTGATGATTGGTGGACCCGAGAAAGTGAGGGCTGGAGCTTTAGAAGCCGTTAGGTCAAGGATGATGGTGGCTCTCCGGGTGTCTCTGCAAGCGTGCTTAACGTTGATCGATTACTGATTATCGATGAGGACGGTGATTTGTGATGATGACTGATCGTGATGATGAGAGCAGTGGCGCCGTGGTTAGCCCACTGAGCGATGAACCAGCTCACCTGAGTTAGATTCCCGCCCATGGCTCTTGTCAGTGGTGGTGATGATGAACGCTTGGAGCACGGTTGTGTGTGGCGTCTTCACGGGGAGCGGTGGCGCAGTGCTTCGCGCGCTGCGTTACGAACCCGGCGACCCCAGGTTGATTCTCACTCACCGTCAACAAACAGCGGTGATCATCTAAACCGGTCCCGGGCTTCCCTTAGGTCAACGCAGCGCGTCGACACCAGTACTGGGGAGACAAAGGCGGCCGGGGGTGGTGCTCGCAACCCACCCCGTCGTGTGTCGTGCCGGCCTTCATTAGGGGTTCGTTAACAGCACTTGCCCCAGCAGCCTGTTAAGGCTACACGGGGGGACTTTGTCTGAATCGTGTCGTGCGTCCTCGAGAATGCGCTGCGATTTGGTGGCGAACATCAAAACTCGGCACCCGGTCCGAGGGTCTGGGGAGCCCGAGGAGACGCGGCGGCGATGATCCGCGCAGTTTGTCGTCACGCTAACCAGGTGCACGATGCACCATCAACCACGGGTAACCCATTCACGGACATATTCAGCGTATTCGCCATCACCGTTATCTCCACCACCTGTTCACTATCACCCGCGCAACGTATAATGCTCATTGTGTGTGCGTGCGTGTTTAGTTTGTTGTCCTTCCCCCGCACCTCTGAGTAGCGCGGTTGCACATTTCGACATCACGATAATAACAGCTTATATAGCTTGACTGTGATGAGAGCCGTTAACCAGTGGAGCGATGCAAGCAGAGGGGTTATTCGCTCTGGATGAGGAGTTCGGGTCAGGCCCCTAGCAGCTGCATCCTGAACGGACTGGAGTCAACACAGTCCCTCACTGGAGGTTCCATCTGGTGAGGATTGCAAAGGTCGATGCGTGAACCGGGTTCTCGGCGTCAGCAGCCGAGGGGATGGGACGTAGCCGAGCAAATGTTCCGTCAAGTAAAAACAAAGCAAAGCGACCTTGACAGTTCTACGAATGTGCACCTCGAGCATTACGATGGATTACGGAACACCCCGAGAATCCCGACTCTCTGTACAAATCATCATCGTTTTCATCTCCCAAATTCATCACCAAAATCTTCAACACCACCGCCGCCACCTTGTGCACCGGTCTCCTAGGGATCATCCCCACGCGACCGACCACAGCCAGGACCAGCAGAGTCAGGCGAACGACAGCGTCCCCGCTTCACGCGCAACAACAACAACAAGAGCGACAACAACAGCGGCCGAAGCGGCGATGATCACGGAACGCGTACGACGAGGGCCGTCTCCGCGCGCGGCCTCGCTCACTCACGCGGCGTTGACCACGATCATGAGGCTCATGAGGAAGACCATGAGGAAGAAGAGCCACATGAAGCAGCGGTCCATGACGCGCGCCACGCGACGCCACTCCAAGACGCGCGCCTGGCCCGCGCGCTGCTCGCGGAAGCAGCGCGCGATCGCCTCCACGTCCTCGGCCACGCGGCGCCGTGCGCGCAGCTCCTCGCTCTCGTCCTCTCCATCCTCCTCCCCCTGTCTATCCTCATCGCGATCTTCGCCACCACCGCCTTCGTCGTCGGACGAGAAACCCATCACCTCCTCGTCCTCCTCCTCGTCGCGTCTTCGCCATCCGTTGTTCTCGTCGCGCTCCGCGCCCGCACGGCGCGGCGCGGGGCCGCGCTGGGGCTCCGCGCGCGTCGTGCACGGAGCCGCCCCGCCGGCCGCTCCGGCGCCCTCGAGCCGCACCACCACCGTGTGCCGCGGGGGGGCCGCGCCGCGCCGCTCCTCCACGCCACCGTTGGCCTCCCCCTTGCGCGTCGGCGCGGAGGCGGCGCCGCGGCCACGGCCGCCGTGGCTTTTCCTCCGCTCGTGGCGGCGAGCGGCTCCAATGTCGGGGGTGGCCCCGTCGGCTCCCCCGCCGCTGCGGATCCCCGGGGCGTCGCGGTCCCAGCAGCTCTCTCCCATGTCATAGACGAGGAAGATGCGCGCCAAGTAGCCCAGCACCAGCGACTTGACCCAGGGCGGCACGGGCCGCGCCTCCGGCCCGCAGTGATGGACGTTCATGACGAAGATGGTGAGCGCCGTGGAGGCGGTGATTAGCGACATGGTGGCGATGTAGTACTTGCCTTTGCGGGGAGGGGGGGAGACACAAAGTAGGGAGAGCAACGGATCAGTTATGGGGTTCAGTAGAGGTGCAGGAGATGGGCGGGTTTGGTGAAACAGGGGTGGAGCGATGTGGTGAGAGGGGTTGGTGCAGGGATTGATGCGAATCCTCACTCCCCAAATCACGCCAGATCACTTCACCATACACACCACACGTCTCACCGCCACCATGTCAACACTAATACACCATAATCAGAAAACCACACCACCAACACACATCACACAACCACCATCACCACCACCACCCTACATTTCACCCCTGCTGGAGACCAACACCAAATCACACACCACTATCTCACCACGGCCACTATCGCACCACAAGTCACCACCACTAGTTATCCCCACACCTCTGGTGAGCACGGTTGGCTACATACGGTGCGAAAGAAGTTCAACAACATACAACTACCTCACCACCACTACCACCACCACCCCCCACCGCTAACCCCTCACCACCATTACCTCACCACCACCACGACCCCACCACTGCACCACCGTGACAACCCGTGTGACCCCGCGCGCGGCTCTCACCGATGAGCGGCACGTTCTCGGAGGGCGGCATGCTCTCGGCCACCATGAGCTGGAAGACAGTGAGCGACAGCAGCACGGTGACCCCCAGCGACACCTTCTCGCCCGACTCGGCGGGCAGGTAGAAGCCCAGCGGCGCCAGGAAGGAGAGCATCACGCACGGCAGGAGCAGGTTGAAGACGTAGAAAGAGGCGCGGCGCTTGAGCAGGATGGTGTAGGTGACGTCTGGGTAGGGGTCCGAGCAGCAGCCGTACTTGATGACGTTCTTGGCGGCGGGCATGCCCAGCACCTCCCACTCGACGTTGGCGATGAAGTCCGAGAGGTCCCCTCCGTCCATGCCGCTCACCAGGTCGATCTGGTTGCCGTTGTAGGTCCACGAGCCGAAGGTGAGGCGGCACTGCTGGCGGTCGAACGGGAAGTAGGACACGTCCACCTGGGGTGCCCCACACACGTGGTGCGGGGCCAAGGAGGAGGGGAACGGGAGGAGGGGGAGGATGTGCGTGAAGCCAGGCCCGCGACTGAGTCGCGTGACCCAGCCTCTCGCGCGACTTCGTCACCCCGCGCTTGCAACTGCTTTGTCCGCATCCAGGGTTAGGGCAGTGGTTCTCAACCCGTGGGTCGTGCCCGTCCCCCCCCCCCCATCGCCCCCCACCCCCGCCAACTCTTTACCCCCGAAGGACGCGAAATCCTTTGATGGGGACCGTGCGCTGATGGATACCGTGCAGGAGAAATTTCAAACATGTTGATGAAACTTTCGGGATGAGGGTGATGACTTTGGTGATTCCCGTGCACATGGTGATGATGGTGGTGCTGATGATGGTGGTGAATGTGGTGATGATGGTAATCACGATGATGGTGGTGATGGGGGAGCTGATGGTACCCGGCACGAGCTCTTGGTAATGGAGGGCGAGTCCCACGTGATCTGCCCATTGTTCTGGATCACCACGTTCGTCTCCATGGAGCCCGTGAAGCGGTCATCCGCACTACGGCAACAACAACATCAACAACATCAACAAACTCACCATCGACAACACCACCATCCACATCAGAACAGAGCGCAAAAACATCAACATCGTGCGTAGCCAAGTGCGCTAATCGGAGGTGGTGACATTGCGGGGGGGGGGGGGGGGGGTCACGTGGAGGTCAGCCCCTGGAGACCGGTGCCGGGTGGCGGCGGTGCTGAAGGTTTGGGTCATGGATTTGGGAGATAATAATGATGGTGGTGGTGGTGATGATGATGGTAGTGGTGGTGATGATGATGATGGTGGTGGTGATGATGATGGTAGTGGTGGTGATGATGATGATGGTGGTGGTGATGATGATGATGGTAGTGGTGGTGATGATGGTGGTGGTGATGATGATTTGTACAGGAAGTCATAATTCTCGGGGTGTTCCGCAATCCGTCGTTACTTTCGAGGTGCACATTCATAGAGCTGGCAAGGTCGCTTTTATTTTTCGTTTATGGAGCATTGGTCGGCTCCGTCCCATCGTCTCGGCTGCTCACGCGGAGAAACCGGTTCACGCTTTGATTCCCTCACGCATCGACTATTGCAATGCATTGCAACACCATCAACAACAACATCATCACCAATATCATCAGAAACATCGCCACCACAAACACACACAGGGACCCTACCTCCCTCACGCTGCCCTCTCACCCACCCCCCCTGCCCCCCTAGCCATGCCCACCCACCTGCTCCCCTGCCCTCCCCTGCCCCCATCACGCTGCCCTCCCCTGCCCCCTGCCTGTTGTAGAGCACGATGTCCGGCTTCCAGACGAGGCCGCTGGGGATGCGGATGTTGTCCAGCCCGTCGTACTCGTTCTTGTCCCAGCGCAGGTTCGCGTCCTGCCAGATCTGGCGGATCCACAGGTAGGCCGTCAGGATCTGGTTCCTCTCGTCCTGGGGGAGGGGGTCGCGAGTGGGGTGGTCAGTTCGGGAGGAATGGGAGTACGGGGGTTGAAGGGGGAGGAGGAAGGGTGCGGGTGGGAGAGTGGAAGGGAAAGAAGTAATAAAATAATCAGGTAGTGAGGGGTGAGTGGGGGGGAGTGGGGGATGGGGGGGCAGTCGGTGGTGTGAGGTGGCAGTGACGAAGGGACGAGGGAAGGGGTAGGGGGGAGCTGGCGGGTTAGTGGGGTGGGGGTCAGGAGGAAAGGGTAAAGTGTGAGCGAAGGGTCAGTGAGGAGTGATGGTGGGGGGAGAGGTGATGGTGGAGGAGAGGATGAGATGTGGGGGTGGGGGGAGTGGAAATGAGGAGTGACGGCTCCCTGTAAACGAGAAGGTAACCTCAGCGTGCGATTGATTTGAGAATCAGTGACCTCACCATCTCCATTACCGCATCCATACCTGTGACCTCAACCCGTGTCGATATCCAGAGAGAAGGTCATTTGGCCCTGCCACAGTGCCCTTACCCTGCCAACGTCGTGACCCTGTACATGTCATCACCGTGCCAGTGTCCTCACCATGTCGATGATCTGGGAGAGGGTGATGCGCAGGGTGATGTTCATCACTCGCTCCGTATTCTCCACGGGTCGCAGTGAACTCGTGTAATTACGCAGCAGGTCCTTGAGGAGTTGCCTCGCGAACCAGCCCTGGGCCGCCAGGCACCCTGTGGGGTCGGGGGCCCGAAAGGGCCGTGGGGGGCAAGAGGGGGGGAGGGGGCGAGGCGGTGTCCCGGGAGGCGGAGAGGTCGTAAAGGAGAGCATCATGAAGAGGGATTTGACGGTAATTGATTCGGAAGAGCCCTCATTAAACTACCCCCCCCAACTCCGCTCTCTCCTTCCCCTCACTGCCACCCATCCCCAACCGACGTGAGGGCACGCGTGGGGTGATTTGGGTAGGGGGCACGCCGTTGATACAATTACAGCACAACGTGGATCCATATATAAACATGTCGCGTCTTCACCGTGACCGCCTCGCAAACAAAGACGAAGATTCGCCCGCGTCGCCTCTCGTGATCGATCAGGGCGAGCGCTGTCAGCGAGCGCGCCTGCAACTCGCTCCCAGAAGGCCGTGGAGCTGATGGGATGTGTAAAGAAAAATACGTCCAGCGACAAACATGGTAAGGAGTAGCGCCTAGTTTGCCGAGTGATTTTTATTGCACCATTATCTCGGATTAACTTAGGGGGGGGGGTAACTATACCCGTGCACAAACCTAGCAGGGGGGCAGCCCCAGGTGAGGAGCGACGCGGGGAGAGGGCGGAGTGGGGCGAGGCGAGGTCGACTGCAGGTGACTGTGAGGAGATGGACGGGTGAGGTGAATGACAGGCGAGGCACAGAAGGGCGAGGAAGGCTGGGGGGAAGGGCAGGTAAGGTTCGGAACCTGTGAGGAGGTGGTGAGGTCGAAGTGATGAAGAGGAGATGCGCAGGTAAAGAGGTGAGAAGGAGTAGGGAGGTGAGGAGGTGGTGAGACCGAGGTGAAGAGGTGGAGGAGGAGCGTACCTGGGTGAGAGAAGAGGCAGGGCACCTGGAGCAGCGCGATCTCCAGGAGCGCGAGCCTCATGGTGATAGAGGTCACCGGGCGGTCAATCCCGGGGACAGAAGTCACCTGACCACGTGCACGTGGCACACAGACGAACATACGAAGACAAAGACAATCAAACACAAGCCCATGGACTCGTCCTCCCGCGTGTGACGAAATGCGTAGCCCTGCAGCTCCTTGCAGGCATCATCCCATAACAACATTACATCCCAGATGTCCACTACCGATCATCGCAACGCATTCCATCACATCTCTCAACCACATCATGCTATCACATGCATCCTCCATCAATCATTCCTTACCATCCATGCATCACATCTCTCACCTCATCATCCCAAAGCATCCCTACCCATTCCATCAATCAATCCTTCCTATACGTCACGTTAATTCCAATCCCATCGGACTCCATCCAATACCATCCCATTACATCCCATCACAAATCTCATCACATCACATTCCACTCATTCCCAGGATGTTACAGAGGACGACGATGATGCTGATGATGGTGGTGGGGTTGATCAAGATGTTAAATATGATTATATGGATGCAGGCTAGGCAACTGATGGAGGAGGGATGATGACAATGACGATGCTAATGGTGATTATTTTGCTGAAGGTGATAACGATGCTGCTGACGGTGATGTTGATGGTAGTAGTCGTAATATTGCGCTTATAACGATTTTAATAATAACGACATGACTTTCAGTTAATAATTCATTACTGTAACTGATGATAATGATGATTGATGATCACGACTATGATAATTGATTATCGATTGTGATCATGATTTTGATTATTGTAGATGATTGATGATCATTATTGATTATCATGATGGTTATGTAAGATGATGATTGATGATGAGTGATTGCATTGTACTTACCGCTGTTGCGTTCCGAATTCTCTACCGGAGCGACCCAGCCGCAACTCCCGCTCCATATCGGAACGGGAGCCTCTCCCTCCTCCTCCTCTCTTCCTCCTCCTCTTCTCCCTCCTCCTTTTCTCTGCTCCTTGCTTGCTCGCTCCCTCCTCTCCTGCCTCGCTCCCCCGCTCTGCTCCGATCTCTGAGCTTGTGCTGGCCGAGCAGGTGTCAAGTGGCGAGCGACGATAGCGACTCGCGTGTTTTATATCGGGGGCAGGCTCAGTGGCACACACGCGCACGCACGCTCGCGCATCGACACACACACACCCACACATACACACGTGCGCACCAATATGCAAGCCGGCGGTCGACACTGAGCGGCAGTGACGTCACCACAGCGCTTGTGCCAGGCTAGGTGCACTTTGAGGCCACGTGAAGTCTTGAAGGCTCGTTGACAGGTCACGGGACAGACGCAGGTACCATGGGTTGTGCTCCCCACTGTGCCATCTCGCTTGGGTTTGTCTGCCCGGTGGCTCCGCTCGTTGTTGTAAGCGTTGCGCCTCCGCCCTCCGTTGTTGTTGGAGAGCGACTGCCGCCTCCCACTGCCCAGTAGCGGCGTCCTTCACGAGCCTACTCCATAGACGTCCATTTTGACACTGTCGTCTGTGTTAACAGAGCCGATTCAAACTAACACTGAGATCTCAGTGTGCATGTGTGTGCACACGTGTCCCACGTGACGCAGACTACGTAAATTTGTTAGCGCGTCACGTGGGACGTGTTTAACAATCATCGGGCGCGTGCAGCGCGTAACGAAGTAATGTGAATGGGGGGTAAATTGGTAAACGCGGAAATCTGTAGTGTGGTTGGAGGTCGCGAGGACTGGAGTTTGGGAGACCCGATCATAGACCGACATAGACACCCATAGATTCGCACAGAGACCAATAGACTCGCACAGAGACCCACAGACTCACGTAGAGACCTTCAGACTCGCATAGAGAACCATAGACTCTCACAGAGACCCACAGACACGCATAGAGAACCAGACTCACGTAGAGACCTTCAGACTCGCAAAGAGACCCATAGACTCGCAAAGAGACCCACAGACTCGCACAGAGATCCAAAGACTCGCACATACGGCGTTACGATGAAATCGAGTTCTCAAGTGTAGTGAGTTGGTGGTCTCTGCCCGGTCTCCCAGCGATCCAACACCTCACCACCGTGATTGCCACATCACGTGGGTGTCTCTCTCAGGTGGGCCTCGGCAAGGTAAGGTAATTTACCTTTTTTACCGGGTAATAGGGGAAAGGGTGAAGGTGTCGACATGCCAAGGGGTAAGGTAAAGGGTAGGGTAAAGGTAGCGTGGAAGAATTACCCGGTAGGGTAAAGGTAGCGCGAAGTATTACCCGGTAAATACCTTGTGTACCGCTCGCTAAAAGCTCTGTGGCGCAGTCCGTGGCCTCCATTTAAAATTGAAATCATCGGGAGTATTCTATATGAATAAAGCGCTCTACCTCGCATTTACCTGTTACAAACCTTGTTCATGTGTAGTACCCCAGTAATTACCCTGTAATCGGGTAATTTGTATAGGGTAAGGGTAAAAGGTAGGGTAAAAGGTAGCCTCGTTTCTTTTGACCTTTTACCTTACCTTGCTAAAGGTAAGGGTAGAGTGATTGTATTGTGGTAAGGTAGAAGGTAGGGTAAAGGTAGCCTCGTTGTTTTTACCTTTTACCTTGCCGAGGCCGACTCTCAGGACGCCCGACGGATAAAGCACGGGAGAGAGCTGCCCCCTAGCGTAGAAAATGCATCGCTTGCAGCGAACACAGGAGACTTCTGTGAAGTCTTCTGCCATGGGTCGTTCTTCATCACGGGGAGAGGGTGAGGGGGCTTGACGATGCCCCTCGCCCATCTCTCGCTGAGCAATGGGCGAGGGGACCCACCAGAGCCAGCGTCACCAGTTGGAGTTGGTTCCACCCGGGCCACGGAGGCGAGATGTTAACCGCCTCGCACGGTATACAGGAGGTCGTGGGTTTGATACGGACCCTGACGCCTGTATGTCTGCAGTTTACGTGTCTCTTCCCTTGGTCGCGTGGATTTTTCTCCGGATCCCTCGGTTTTCCACTCCACATTTATAAAACATGCGTTTAGAGTATTTGGCTGTTATTAATTTCCAAGTGATCAGTCACCTGGTCGAGGCATCATTTGTGATGGCCAGGTCGCTTCTGAAAAAGAGCGACATAGCTCAGGGGTATTACCTGCTAAAATAAAACATAGTTCGTAAGTGTCTCCAATGCGCCAAGCGAAGCCGTGTCCCCGAGTTATCCGCTTCCCCGTCTCCCTCTTCGTGCTCTGCTCAGCGACTCGGCACGCACGAGACGCCCTTACGGAGCCGGCCGGCCGGCCGGCGTTCGCGCAGGCCCCGTAGTGCGGTGAGGGTTGGTGGTTTACGCGCACACATTGCACAACTCCCTTTCTGTGGAAGTCGAGGACGTGCCGCAACCCTGGCTTGCCAGGAGAAGGCGGTGCAACAAAGTGCGGACTAACATCACGGGATAGACGGTGTTTTTCACTCATTTCCAGGGGGGAAAGCATTTTCACCGTTAAGACATCAGTGTGAGGGCCGCCACACATTGTAACGCATTGGATTTGACAGCACGCTGATGGGGCGTCTTCACCTGTTGTATTGTCGCGGGCCGCGCGTCAAGGGGCCACACTAGAGGCTACCAGGGGCGGCCAGTGGCCCTCGGGCCTTGCAATGAAGAACACTGGGAGAGTGTATCCCCACATCCCACGAGTGGGTTTTTTTTACAGGTACTGCGGTTTCTTCATACACGTATACTCATTAAATGGCTGAACATATCTGAATATAGAGGACTGCAGAGCTTGGGAAATTGACGCCCGTTCTGTGCTTGGCTGCCTCCCAAGCTTGTCTGTGTGGCGTGTGGGCCGATGCGTCTCTTCGGCACTGTTGCAGAGACACGAATGCTACCCTGAAGAGTGCTTTTGATAGTGTTCCCGCTGCGTGCAGTTCAACTATCTCCACCAGCCGTGTGAGATACGGAAAGGGGCAACACAACTGAACATCAGCCGCTCCCGAATGCTTTTCTATGCGGCCTGCTCACTCGCTATGACCACACCATCCACATGTACCCACCATCACACCGCCACCACCATCAACAGACACCATCTCTCGCACCACACATGTTGCGCCACCACCCCACAGCACTTCCAAGAAAAACTACCACCATTGCTGCATCTCGCCACTTTATTGATGTGTAAGACACTTCACATTTATACGGGACCCCCCCCCCCCCCCTTCCAAAATCCTCGATTTATACCTCACTCCCCGATAGGCGGAGAGCATAAAAATACTTATAACACCATGCGCGCATTGTTCAGCAACACGATGGCCGATGTATCGCGCATAAACAGCTGACAGAGTTGCCACCTCTCTGGGTTTGCCCCCCCCCTCCCGGTACAGTCTGGCAGTTGGCATCTGTCCAGGTGGCAGCAGGAACTGATCTGCACGGAGCTCTTGTACCGGTATTGTTTCACCGGGTTTGGTTTGTACTAAAGGTGGCAACCCTAAAGTTCACGGATGCAAGTGCAGCAGCTGGAGGGGGGGGGGGGGATGGCCAGAGGCACAACCACTCGGTCCAGGAACAACTGCATGCATGGAACACGTGCCAGATTTGTCCACAGTCCGGTTCTCACGACACACCACGTTCCGACTTTCTACGATTACCAATCGACCGACTTCACGCTGCACACATCCCGACGGTAGCAATGAACACGGTGGCGTCCACGTCTTACCCAGGTGATTTAGATTCAGACATTAGATTCTTGCTACGTCGCCTGGGGCTTGTCCACTCATCATCGGGCACGTGCAGCGCATTAACGGCTTCAACTTGTATGTTCGGAACGGAGCCGATAAATGGTGAGAAAGCGGACCGCAGTGGGTCGTGAGGAGTGATGTCTGTGAAACCTTGGGTTTCACGATACAGGCCGGGTGCATGCTACACATCACTTGCTCCGGTCACTCCGTCCCGGACAGCCGTGATTCGTGACACCGGTGGCACTGCCAACCGCCGTGAACACAATTCCATTACGTGGTCTTAGAAAACATTCGCGCAAACGCCAACATTCGCTCCTCGCGTACGACCGTAAACTTTAACGTACCTAAGTTAGACGCCTTCAACAATACTTACAGAGTAGTGTGAGCTCAGTAGCAGTGCGAGGTTAGTGTGTTGTGAAATGAGCGGTGTTAGGGGAGTGGTTTGAGAAAAATTGTAAGAGATTTCCGGGGCGAGATGAGCGTGGAGTAAGATCATAGTGCTGGTTGGGCTGCGGTATGGTGAAGAGTGCTGAAGAAAAGTGAAGAGCAAGAGTGGTGCGAAGCGCAAGCTGTGAGATGCGAGTTGAGAAATGTGCGATAGGAGTGGCGTAAGATGAGTGGTGTGACGTAAGTGGCGTGAGACGAGTGGCGTGGTGTGAGAGGTGCGAGACGGTGTTATACGAGTAGTGTGACGTGACAATGTTATGACATTTTCCCATGCTCCCCCGTGGCATTACAGGGAGATCTGAACACGTGAGCGTATGGACCTGTGCCTGTCTGTGTGCACATCAGTCATTAAGCAAGGGCTGATCTAAGCGCAGTTGTTGACAATCGAGCGTGATGCTGCATCAACAATGCCATGCACCATGCAGGGAATTATTCCCTACTGAATATTTTCTGGGTCGCTAATATAACCGCAGTAGGCGTGCGACAGGTATCCACAGCAAGAGGCATACTGTATGTGGCGTTCCAGGTAGGTGTGGACATCTTTTTTACGGGTTGCCGATCCAGACAGATCCAGCCGAAATTACCCGATGCCACGCTGGCACAACCGACACCCACACCCACAGCCGCCCTCAAGCCAGGTCAGGGAGCTACGCGGGTGCCACTCGCTGCCGACCACAAGCAGTCACGACCTCACGTCCGAGTGAAACAGATTTTAACTTATTTATTAAGTCTAAGTTCGTTTACTCCTAATAATAACTAGCATCTCCCTCAGCGGGCGCCACTTACAATGGACCAACCCCCCCCCCCCCCCACTCGAACATTCAATGATTTTGTTTAGCTTAAACACTTAGGTGTACTTTTATCTTAACAGAGGTGGCGTCAAAAGCTACCCCTACAGTTTGTTCCAGTTAAGTTTTCCGAAGGGATCTTTACCTCCCGAAGCTAAGATTGCTTATCCCCTAAGGGCTGCGACTAATGGCCTATGCGGGAGATTGTTGCTATGTCTGCCCAGCGTGCCAAGCCCTCGTCAACCCCTCCGCCACTCCCACCACCAGCCGTCTCTCATCTTCCTTCTGCTGCTCAATCTCGTCTTCTATGGCGAGACCGTAAGCAGAAAAGTGGTTCACCTGAACGCGCACACACACAGAAGCGCTCCAGTCAATCCACTGCTGGGTGGGGACCTTCCTAGTTCGTGCGGGTCGTAGGGGGATCATGCAATGCAGACACACGTGAGCAATTACGTTGAGGTGTTTAATTCAGATATCAATTACAAACCACAATAGGAATGAAAGTAATTATTTGTTAGGTTCATTCCTATTTTCAATAAAGAAAATGCAGACAAACCGAACGAGGATACGTAGATTCATTGTGCTTGGCAAGGGATCAAGAGAACATCATTGTAGTGGTCTCATGAAGCAGAGGAGAGAGATTAAAATAAGAATAGAGATATTGATGGGGTAAGCTGATTAAGGAAGCAGCAGGTCAACAAAAGGGGGACCCATGCCTTCTAACAGACAGCCAGGGAATCCTGAGCGACGGAGCCCCGAGATGTTCAATAACGTCCCTTAATTGGAATCTGCGCGCAATTT